GTCCCCACCGCAATCCACCGTCCTCACCCTGTTCCCACTGCATCCCTGCCGTCCCTGCCATCCCGACTGCATCCCCACCATCCTCACCGTGTTCCCACTGCCCCCACCACATCCTCACCATCCCTACCACATCCCCGACGTCCTCATCATCCCCATCACGTTCACACCATATCCCCACCATGTCCCTAGCACATCCCCACCATGTCCTCGCTGTCCACACCATGTCTCCACCATCACCGACATCCTCACCATCACCAGTGCATCCCCACTGCCCCGGCCACATTCCCACCATCCTCACCTTATCACTACCGTCCTCACCATCCCCACCGTGTCCCCACCATCCTCACCATCCCTGCCGTCTCCACCACACCCCCACCGCATCCCCACCATCCCGGCGCAGACCCACCCTCCTCCTGGAAGACACCGTCCTTCACCAGCTTGAAGGAGATGAAGACGGCCCCCTCCTCACGCAGCGCCTTGGAGTGGGGGGGCATGGAGCCGGGGGTGATGCCCCCGATGTCCGCATGGTGCCCGCGGCTGGCCACGAAGAAGACGGGCTTGGGGATGCCCGGCCAGAAGACCTGCAGAGAGCCTGGTGCTGAGCCGGTGTCTTGGCGGGGGGTCCTGCACCCCGGGGGTGTCCCAGGGTGGGGGTCCCGCGCCCCCGGCCCTCACTCACGGGAGTGATGACAGTGAGGTCGGGCAGGTGGCTGCCCCCCGCGCAGGGGTGGTTGCTCAGGATGACGTCCCCCTCCCGCAGGTCCTCACCCAGGTTGCGGATCTGCAGCGGCACCAGGAAGGGCTGAGTGGGTCCCCGGGTGGGGGGGGGGTCCCGGAGCAGGGGGGTTCCCCAGGGACTCTCCTACCTGGAACTGGACGGTCTCCTGCATGGCGCCCAGGTGGACGGGGATGTGGGGGGCATTGGACACCAGCCCCCCGTCCGGCCCGAAGAGCGCGCAGGAGAAGTCCAGCCGCTCCTTGATGTTGGTGGAGATGGCCGTCCGCTGCAGGATCCGGCCCATCTGCTCTGCGGGGGGGGGGAACGCGGCAGACCCTCACGAGGGGGTCCCTGCCCCACAGAGCCCCCCTCGTCCCGTCCCCCATCCCCGGCAAACCCCAGCCACCACATCCCCCTGCCCCAGGCAAGGCTGGGGGGCAGCCCCCCCCCACCTGCGATGCTCATGAAGCGGTGGGAGAAGATGGAGAGCTGGACGGCATCGAGCTGGGGGCCGACAGGGCGCGGGGACCCCGAGCCGACGGCGATGCAGATGTCGCCGAAGCGGGTGAGGCTGGCGGTGCAGCCCGGCTCCACCACGATGGTGCTGGGGGAGACAGGCGGTGGCACCAGGAGCTGGAGGGGCGCGGGGCTCCCCGGGGTCCCTGCTGGCTTCGTGGGGTTCCCACTGGCTCCTCGGGGTCCCCACCAGCTCCCTGTGGTCCCACCAGCTTTTTGGGGTCCCTGCCGTCTCACCAGGGTCCCTGCCAGCTCCTTGGGGTCCTGCTGTCACCCTGGGGTCCCCACCAGCCCCCCAGGGTCCCACTGTCATCCTGGGGTCCCTGCCGTCGCCCCAGGGTCTCTGCCAGCCCCCCAGGGC